AAAAAAAAATCATTTATTCTGCCAGCAGAAGTCCTAGTTTTCCACAAAATCGCCGTCCTTATCAAACGCTTTTGTGCAAGACCAAGATTGCCCTGCTTATTTGGCTACTCGACTCATTGTTCTCAGCCAATAGTGCATGCTGTTCTGAGTTTTGCAGTCATCAAATTTTAATTTCAATACCATCACTATGGTGGACGTAGAAGTTCAGTTCAGAAATTAATTTCGAATCTAATAAGCTAGCTGCTGTCTGTTTAGACTAATTTAAAAACACAAAACGAAATGCTCTATCGCGTTTTTGACAAATCTTAGGGTCTATTGTAAACTACTGGTACTTCATATTACGCATCCAGTCACAGCAAATGCGCAACAAATTTAGTATACATGTTTAGTGGCGTGGTGTGAGCTATCAATTGTTCTTCCTCCATCTATTTCTATTCACTTGAACTGGCTTCCGGGGCAGTTCTTTGTTTTTCTAAAGTTGCCTAATTTTTAGGTTGTGCTGCAGTCACGCAACTATAATGCGGTCAGCATGTGTGTATTAGCTATGGTTGCGTTGATGTATCCGCTGGAATACATGTTTCCGGTGATACCATTACTACCATCGTTTATGCCATCGGCTGAACAAGTGAGCCGCTCTCTTTTCTTTAGTGAATCCCCACACAACCGATAGCATATTTACTTGGTTCAAGCCCGAACTGTATACTTTGGTTTGACATCATTAACTTTGTACTGCAGCAGCACTAATTACATCTTTATTAAACCTTTAATTTTGCAATTCAAATAGACAGAAAATGCAGAAGACTGCAAAAAAAAGCAAAACTTATTATATTTCTCGTAGGTATCAGTCGCTAATACGCCACTTCCACAGGCTGTCAGCAAGGCGAGCGACATTCCAGAAGCACTATTTACAAAAAATGGGCAAAAGCAGCTTGGATTTGGACTTGCATTTATAAATAAGTAACTACCGGACCTAGTTTTTTTCCGGGTCATTTTTTCCGATTTGTTTGGAAAATCAATCTCGCAAAAAATTGGTTTGCCGGCTTCATTTACAATAGCCCAAATATGAATACAGAAAGACTTAGAAAAAATGGTTTTCTAAAAATCAGAATGCACAACGAGATACAAGTAAAAGTCTAAACTGCAGTTCCTCATACGGCCAAGGTTTATGTTTTTTCCACTTTTCACAGGTAAATAAATGACTACAAACTTGGAAAGAATGCGTATGTATTTGCTTATTACTTGAAAATGTCCGAAAAAAAGATACCATTTTCGACTTCTAAACCACCACACTTCTCATCAATAATTTGCTGAATATTGTTTTAGTTGCTCTACGCTCCAACACCTTTCGTCATTGGTTTGCCGGCTTCATTTTTTGCTCACAAAGCGATTGACATACCGAGCGATGTTATTGTTGTTGATCTAGATACCAATCAGCTGCTCATACCGGAAGGAACCACTATTCCGGATATACCTGAACCCGACTGCACTGAGCTGAAGGTTTTAAAATTTGCTGCAGTATTTTTAAATTTTAGTTGATATTTGCTACTTCTGACATCGGCCTTCGTGATTTTCAGCCAATTTTCCATTGCAGAACAGTTTGCGCAGGTCGCTAGGCAAGTTGTTACTAAATGCACCGGAACGAGAGCAAGATAATGACGAAAATATTGCATCCACTTATACTCTTGACAGTGACGTTGTCGATATTGCTGTACGGGTTGCAATGGTATTTTTCCTGAATTTGCTTCCCAAAGGATATTTTTCACTATTCTTCGTGTTTATTTTCTTCAGACTGCCGAATTCTGCTCGTTTTTTAGATTCGATTTTTTAACAGTGCGAACATATTTGCGAACTTCAGTGAGCACACTCGAACGCTGCGTTTATATCCTCGACCAGTCGTGGCATTGCAAACTGAGTCTTTTCTGCGTAGCCGCCCACAAGTCACACAGTTCATTTCGGAACTTTGCAAGTAATCATATTTTCCCAATCAGGTTTTTCTACAGCCTTTTGGAAAAATTATCCCCTCTTAAACAAAAGCTATGCGCATGAGGGGGTCGGTGCCATCGCAGTTCGTGCGATGACTTGCTCAGCGCACAAACTGGGCAAACACTTCAGTGCATGAAAAAGACGACACCTCAGTTTG